GCTGGACTCCAATAGACAAGTGCAATCATGGATGAACCAACACAAAATTTGTCACATAACACATTTATTGTGAAATATACAGTTACACTTTATAGATAGTATAAAGATGATCAAAATCTGATACGGAAGAGGGGGTGAGGGTCGGGACGAGTGGTGATGAGGATGTTGTAAGTATGGACGAGTTGAATTTTGTTCATTCTCGTGCGGATATTCTGCGACATCTGTTAATGTAAGACACCTCGTCGATTTTGTAGAAATGATTTACAATGCTTCCTAGACCACGTTGTAGTGAAGCTCTAGTATTAGGATTACGTTGTACTTTGGCTTTGTCGAGCTAAAAAATAGTTTATATGTAAAAAAACGAAATCAATTACTACTGATGTATGCGAACATTCACGATTAAAATGTCTTTTAACGTTTCATATTTTTGATATTGCCATCTTGACATGATATTGTTTACCTTTTTTTCTATGCGATGCCACTTTTATGTGATTTCATGCCTATATTCTTAATATAGACGTCACATGGCTGGTATTGCAGGACGTTTACAGTTGGATTCTGAAAAATTCTTTAGAATCGGAAACTTCTTTTCAACATCGTATTATTGAGGGTACCGTTCATCGTGACAATGTGTCCAAACGGGAACTGTGTTTTATACCGTCATAAATGATAAAGTCAGGCACTTCGATCTTTATATATTCTATTTCATATTCCAATATTGTTTTTGGCTTAAGAGCATTGTAGACAAACAGTTTCAAATATATGTTGGAAAAGTTGTATTTTCGGGAACAAAAACCTGTTTTTTTATCGTTCTCGTCTATCAGGCGAGACATGTTATTTGGACTCTGTTAGGGTTTTCTGTTAAAGTTTGAATTCACCATCATGAAATGCTTGGTCCGCGAATGGTCCTTGACCTGCTAATACTAAAGCGTGAAGACACCTAAACAATTTAAATGTCCTCTAGACTAACCAGAACGCACGCTGCAGTTCCTGAAAACAGTCGTTTCATATTAAATATTCACATTGGATAAACTGACAATCCCCGAATAGTATTTTAAAAAGAGAAATAAATGAATAAAACAATAGACCATACAAAAAAATAAAAACATGTAAACTAATTAAAGGTTAAATTTTATCAGAGATATGCCCATTCACATATCAAATAAACTTAATCTGAGTTCCAGACAAGCAGACGTTTTTAAATACTCAAATGTAGTATTTGAAAAAAACTGAAATATACTTTCTTACTGATATTTCTCCAGATATGATTTTTTTGGTCTAAATAATAAACGGTATGGACCACGAATTTAACAACTGCTCTTTTTCCCTTGGCACACATTTAAGCAGTGGATTTATTGTACTCTTATAAGTCGTTTGGAGCATTACCGCTAAATAGTTGAACTTTCTTTAGCGATAAGTTCTTCACAAGATTATCAAATAAAACAAATTGAGGAATTTTAAATCAATTATCTGAAACGTTTTCTTTGATTTTAGAATGGAAGAAACGGATGTAAACCCCAAGACTGTGCTATCGCCTGCTGTTTCATCATATTCACCGTGGTTGTAGTCATCGTATCTATGGGCTTCGGTCTGTAGGAGGACCGAGATGTTATAGGGAAAGCCAATCACATTGTCCAGTTTATCATTATTCCTGTAGCCAAAGCTAGGCATCCTTGACAATGTGTACAGCCATTACACGTTATCCACAACCTTTTCCAGTATCTTCACAAAGACTATCACAGCCCAAAGTCTTGAGAAAATTAGAACACTTCAATTGAATATATAGGACGTTGCATAAATAACGCTTAACACTGATATTAAATATACTTCCTTTGTTATCATCAGGAGAGGAAATCCTGCATCAAGAGCTATGGAATCCTTGATGGAATTTGAAATCATTCGCTGGTGTGCCAAGTCAAATACTGCTATCCTGGCCAGCAGACAATCACAATAGACATCCGATTAAGCAGTCACAAAGTGATGAATTCTGGTTTTCTTATTTTTGATCAGGGCTGTGTTATGAAATATTTGATAAATATTTGAGTTGTGTAAAGTTAGGTATGACCTTTGAAATTCTTTCTTTGTTCAGGTCTCCTGAAAAAGATAGAATAAATATTTAGAGTTACATGTAAGCTGTTTAGCAAGCCTTGTAATCAAATAATAACATGTACATGTTATACTGTACAATTATTTAAGCGTACAAAACACCATCTTGGTAATTTGATCGTTTGTGCATGTTAAGTGTTAAGTTTGTTGTTAAAAGATAAAGTAATGAGCTTCCTTGGCTACAGTGTGGCGTGTGTAAGGATTTAATATTTGATAACATATACTGGTCCAAGCTCCTAAATCTTATAAACCAACAGACAGTCGCGGTATAAATGGTGTTGGGTTTTTAAAATCTTTTGAACGGAATTCAAATGTACAATGTATTTAATGCAAAAGACAAGAAACATGGAAATGTGACACCTTAGTGTTTAATTAATTATAACTGTTAAGTATCAGTTATGCATGGCATCATAAAAGCGTTAACATGAACAGAATTATTTTGCAAGAATTAACTCTACAAAGTAATAACATATATACGACAAATACGAGATTTCTCTTTACAATTTCTTGTGAGCTGCTGTATACTACTATATCAAAGAAACGAAATGTCTTCATCCATTAGAGGACGGATTGTATTGCCTCACAAGAGGTGCAGTGCTGTAGTTAAATGTGTTGCATGGAAAATGTGTTTATAACCTTCGGACAAAAAGAAATCTTACTGTTTAGAACTCCAATGATGTTTAATCGAAATTCTAGATATTAAGATGTGATTTTCAACGAAATGTTACTTCAGCATGGTAAAGGTACCGACTATTGAAAAAACTAACTATCAAGATGTCATAACGATGTTTGTATTTCTCAATTGACGTAGTTTTTATGTAGCTACAATATGGACAGGAGTTGTCACTGATGCATTCATGTCGATCATTTTGAATAAAAAATACCCGTGCTTATGCCGCACGAACCAATCTTATTTGCTATTTGAAGTATTCATCTCATTGGACCGCATATCATGGATGGTCCAAAACATTTGTGATGTAGCTACCTTAAATATATATCGCCACCTTATCGACATTTGTATGCTATTTCATCATCAGGAACAGTGTAGCTGTCTGCCTTTGTCATAAGGGTCAGCATGGACAAGCAAAATGAAACGAAACAGCAAACACGTGTCAAAAACATAATTCACGGAAGCACAATAAATGATTTACAGTTGTCGAACACTCTGCCTGAGTCGTGATTGAAATCATTACGTTAAGGTCCTTGTCCCACAATCCTGTTAGTGATTTCTGATATGTATCACGGCATTATATGATTTGTTTAATGATTTGCAAGTTGCGTCCACAGCAAACCCCTGCCAATAAAGCAGAGCATACTATCAATTTTACACAATGTGTTGAATGTCTTTTTGATTGAAGTATTTTAGTATGATTTGAGTTTGAGCCAGGCCTGCTGGTCGTGGTGTCCTAAATGTTTGACAGTGTTTGAATCCAGATGATACTGCCTGGAAGGGGTCGGTTTTATATTCAGCATCGGTGCGATTTGAGCTGAGCCTCGTAACAGGTTCTTAAAACATTTACATTGAATTGATTATATTGGGTGAACCCCTGTTAAATTGTCGATTGTATTATAAATTTGTTAAATGGAATTTAAAAAAAAATCAGTTGAAAAATCAGTAAATTATATAAGCTCAGTACATTTTTGTATATGACATCATCACTACGTTTGTAAAATTACTCATCAGGATGACAACACCGCTTGTAACATTACTCAACTGAGCAGTTACTCAACAGCTATCTATCCATATGCTGCAGTTATATGCAATATTCATTATATTTTATATTTATTCAGTACGCTATGCTTAAAATATATTATTATAAGTGTGTGATCGTACAACGCAACAATATTATCGTGCGCACATAGTGCACGAATCTTCAGCACATAGTGCGCACAACTGGGCGAAAATCGATCGCCCCTTTGTTTGATAAAACGTTCACAAATGTACGATATGGTAAGATCGGATGATCAATGTTACGTAATGAAACAAATCCAGAAGGCTTGAGTGAAATGAGGTACATCGTATGCGTGGTTAATATCCGATCGGTATATTTTGCACTTTTTTCGTATTTCTTTAATACATGATACAACTGATTGGTATGACTGTTAGACGGATTGTACTGTCAGGTACAGTACTTATATATGTACGTAGTGAAATGATGGAGTTGGTCGCCGATAGGGTTCGGTGATTTGACAGTCGTGTTGCATTTTATTGTGTCTGTGACGGTTTTGGTGGAAATTGCGCTCATGGTCGACTCCATACAGGCAATGTACCCGTCACCTGCTTTGTTAACACTGTGTCTGCGTGTACCAGGTACAGTGCGTACATGTATGTGACCGTACTTTTCAAACCAACTTTGATACAGGATATGTTATTACTGTTATATTAATAGATAACCATGTAAATCAGACTGAAATATGCCAATATAAATACACCAGGAAAAACATGTTTAATATCAAATCATAATTATTCGCATGCTCTTCCTTATTAGATATCAACAGCGATACCTACTGAACGCGATGTTCGGCGTGCGCACGATGGAAAACTTTTCGATAATAGTGTGCGGACAACTGTTATCATTCGGCCAAAACCATATAACGAATATAAATATATCCTTGCTATGTTATCAATATTAGCCGAACCACTTTCAATTTTACACTTAATCTTTGAAAGTGTTTTTCCTTATTACTAATAAGATCCGGTGTTATCAATATCATTAATAGTAGAATCAGCCAATTATGCCCACCCTTTGATTAGTCATTTTTCAGCCGCAACGCATCCTACTACACAGTAAGTTTACTATTGTATGACCTGCGTTGGAATGTCGATACTGACCATTACTAACTCACAGTACTTGATTAAAGGCACTTATCTTCAACTTTTTCCTCTATTTTAGAGTGAAGGAAGAAGATGTAAAGCTCAGGACTGTGCACTCTTATGCTGTCTCATCATATTCACCACCTTTGTTGTCGTCGTATCCTTGGTTGCTGTTCAATATGACTGAGGTGTTGATTTGTGAGCGAGTCACACTTTCCTGTTAACCTTAACATCCCGTAGCCAAAAATGTTAATGCGACTTTGTACAGTCATAACACTTTATCCTTAACCATTTCTAGTCGTAACCAAAAGACAATCACATTCTGAGTTCTTGGCAATATAATAAGTGTATACCAGGAAATTTTCGCCGCAGTTAAACTTTCACCTTTTTTGCCCTCGGTAACGAGCCCACATTAGTAACAGCATAACAAAACAGCAATCAAAAGTCAAGGGCGTAATCAATACTAGGCGAGTTTTCAGTCGAAAGTTTGATTGGGCGAAAGTTTCCCGCTATATAATACCTCCCTAAAGTATACGGGGTGTCATATTGATGTTGTGTATCCTTATTTCATGTAGTATACCTTACCGTTTAATTATATATGACCAAGAGGGAAGATCTCGCAAACCATACAGGAGGTAGGCAATCCCTAGGACAATTGAAATCGTTTATGTTTGTGCCGAGGCAGATGATGTTTTCTCCCATCCTTCACATGTGTGTCTCCCGTTTTAGTCGGGACAGATCAGCTTGTCACCCCCTAGGGTAAGATAGCCTCGTGCCGATTAGCACGTGTCCAATTTTGACGTCATTAAAATGTTTCACCAAATATTAGAATGGGAGAAAAATAATCATCCCCTACCTTGAGGGTGTGACAAAGAAATCTCCAACAGCATACGGTCGCGAAATTCATTTGATAGTGACGAAGTAAAGAAAAGTTTTTGTTTTTAATTATGACCATAGCTGCACTGTTGATACTGTACGAATACATTGAATTGTGTAAAACGGAGTACAACTTCTCTTGATAGGTTATTAGTGGAGAATGTTATGGGAGCTGCCTAGCAAGCCTGGTATGCCAGCATACAAATCATAACTATTATACTGTGTGTACTGAATATCAGCAAGGTATTTTGATAATACGCGAACGTATCAAGGTAATGGTGAATGAATAAAGTAGTTATCTTTTGTGGCTATATTGTGCCAGTGTTATGATTTAATAAGCGGCAATGTAATGGTTCCAGCTCTTTGATTTGATAGAAAACCAAGTAACTGTCGCAAAATTAAATGTGATAATAAGCGGAAAAGAAAAAATGTACAAGAGTCGAGTGCATATTATGCAAGTTCTATTTTTTGCCTTTGTCAGTTAGGTCATTATGGACAAATACGAGGAAACGAAAAAGAACTATCGAGAAAAGAATGCACAATGGACATTATTAAAGGTAAATCGTCAGATTATCTGTCAACGGTTGTGGTGGAAAGCATGAACCGTAGTTACGTTTACGTGGTTATGTTTGCAATGTGTTGTTTTCATTTTTTATGTCTTTAAGTATTTCATTGTGATTCAATTGTTAAACCAATTCCTTTGTGAAAATAGTTACAACGTGTCACAGCTGTGTCACCAAGGTGAGCTGGGTTGGAATGGAATGGGATTGATTCATAGCGTTCCGTCGAATTGATGATTCAATGCGGACATTTTGAAAATGAAGTAATGTTCAGCTGGTTAGCAACAGTAAAATACTCAACCGGTTAGCACTTTCGTGTATGTTGCAATGAATTATTTTGTTACTTGTTAGCTTACAACAGACGATTTTAGTTTTTCTTGTTTTTTGTTGTATTTGATAAGGATCAAACACAAACGTTTGCAAATATGTTGATGGAAATAAATGCTTAAAAACGAGTGTCGTGTTAACAGGTTTTATACACTAACAAAATGTTGTGTAATTCTCACACAAATCAAACTATAAGCAATTATTACTGATAGGATAACTACTGCTCAGTGATCGGGATTTTCACAGCAGTATTGGTAATCAAAACTTATAAGAACTAGTAATAATTGTAACGGATGGCCGTTACAGATTAGTCCCCCAAACTACCCCTGTTGGACATAGGAACATAGGCAAAATCAGACAACAGCTAAATTTCGACCAATCAGAGGACTCCATTTTGTTACCATGGCAACTGAGCTGCTCGAAATTGTAACCATTGTGTTTGGCATCCCTTAAAACCCCTATGTACCAATTCTGGGCAGAATCAGACAACAACTAAATTTCGACCAATCAGAGGCCTCCATTTCGTTACGATTGCAACTTAATCTTTCGTGAATGTTACCATCGTGTTTCGCATCCCTCAAAACCCTTATGTACCGATTCTAGGCTGAATCAGACAGCATCTAAATTTCGACCAATCAGAGGCCTCCATTTCAATACCATTGCAACTGAACTTTTCGAAACTGTAACCGTTGTGTTCGGAATTCCTGAAAACCCCTATGTACCAATTTTGGGCAGAATCAGAAAACAACTAAATTTCGACCAATCAGAGGCCTCCATTTCGCTACCATGCCAACTGAACTTTTCGAATCTGTTACCATTGTGTTCGGAATCCCTGAAAACCCCTATGTACCAATTTGGGGCACAATCAGACAACAGCTAAATTTCGACCAGTCAGAGGCATCCATTTTCGACCAATCAGAGGCTTCCATTTCGTTAACATGACAACTGAGCTGTTCGAAACTGTTTCCATTGTTTTCGGCAGCCCTTAAAACCCTTATGTACCAATTTTCTACGAAATCAGAGCCAAAAACTCCAAAACCGGAAGTAAGGTTCTGGCGGCCATCTTTGACTTCCGGTCGAGATAAAAATAGCCTGTTGCACACCTAGACACCCTAATGAGTATGTGTGTGAAGTTTCATGATGATCCGCTCAATAGTTTCTGAGAAAACCTCTGGACAAGTTCATGGCTGAAGAAGAAGAATAAGAAGAAAAAGAACACAGAGGAATAAAAACAATAAGTCCCAAACCATGTTTGGGGGACTTAATAAGTCCCCAATAGATATCATTCTGATAACTACAAGTAATACATCCGATATTTGCACGACTACAGAGGTTTTTGTTTTCATATGTATCCTCACTTGATCAAGGATGTTGATAACTATTATTCATGGCTTTCAATGTTATCTTCTGTGAACCAGTTTTGCGATATTAGTACAGCTAATAAGTTGAGGAAATTAAATCTAATATACACATCAATGTGTGTTTGTTTTGCTTTTGATTAGTTATTTTATATAACCTTTAACGGTATTTTATCAGTTACATTCACGGTTAAAAATGTCCGGGCTATTAACTGGAGAAATCTACTGAAACAATACGGACCATAACTTTAACCAAAATATATATTTGGACATGATTTCCCTGATTTGGTAATAGTGATGTTTATGGTGAAAGAATAAATGTTATCATTATGTCAATATCATTCGGCAAAAACGAGCTGGTTCTTCAATTCAAACATGTCCACCTACCAATCAAAACACTCATATCATACTGTTATCGAGAATTTACGATGGAACCACTTACCAAAGAGGCTTACTATGATGGAATGCTGTAGAATCCAGCCTAACTGGTCACTCGCAGTGAATATCGAAATGCAAATATGGAAGGTGCTTAATCACTGTGTCGGGTTATTAAATGACACTGAAAGTGTAGGACGCGTTCTTTACACTATAAGATCTAATATTTACATTTCCACTTCAAGTTCCTCAGCATTACTTGGAGAAGAACAATTGCATTCATAGGACAATGGACCCAATTTTATCAGCGTCATTTTGGAAGCTTCTCCCCTAACCTCAAATAACATTATACAACAGTAAGAAGCATACATCGCGATGGCGTTAGGCTATTCCAGGAATCTCGTTTGTACTAACGACAAAGATACATCAATGTCAAGATTATAAGGGAATACCTATATTAGAATCAATAATAACTATAACATTTCGCATGTGCATATACGTATTAAACAGCATTTTCAATATTCAGGCCGGTATGAATGCAAATCGGTTACAGACATATTCCATGAAGTCCAATTTGTATTTCTATGGACATGAACATCGAGAACAATCCCGTTTGATCCTACAAGATAGTAACATTTGTCTTTGCTGATACTTTTAAGACCTTTGAGAATGAGAAAAAGGAACACACTGTCTCACAAGTGAGCTCAGCAATGCTTCCAAGCTTAAAACAAGGACATTAGTTCTCTCGTAGGTTCGGTTGTTTTCCATCAACATTTTGCAAACAGTTTTTACTTATATTTACGGTAAATGTTTATTGATTAGTCAGTTGAGATTTTTCTATGCGCAGGACTCTACCAGCACAATGCCCGCAGGAGAAAGGTAATATTGTTAATAGTATAATAGCAGTAGAACAAGACGTTTAATAATAATAATGAAAATTACGGAGGTAATCTCGACATATAAATTATCAAATTGGTAAAAAAACGACAGTTCAGTGAAAGTGATCAACATTAATGGACGAAAGCAATTTTCGCCGATTTCAAATACAGGGGTTACAAAGTACAGTGTCAAAGATTTGAAAGATTATGGCACTTGCTACATTTTTAAGGTAGATTAGATTTGGAATCGAAAAGTAAGTTGAAATGTGTTTTGCACTTTGCGGTATCACGTTTCAACACATATCGCCCAAACAAAACATTATCGATCATCATCCCTAGAACAACATTGCAGATAAATCATTTCGCGAACCAACATGTCTGTACTAATGAGCAAATAGTAGTATTTGCTGTAATCTTTCGTTGTTTGGATTTCTGCATCGACGTGTAATGGGGGTTTCCTTATTCTGTATTGCTAGTAATTGTTTCATAATGTGACGTAGTTTCGTTGTGGCTGCTAATTTATAAGCACCCGTATATATATATGCAATGCCCAGTAATTCCCAACCAAAGTGTAAAAGTACTTATTTGGTAACTGTTGTCAAACGTTATGCCTTTCAACTTTGTCTATTTAGCTCATACGTGTGTTTTGTTTATTATGCTCATACGTGTGTCGTGTTTATTATGCTCATACGTGTGACGTGTTTGTTATGCTCATACGTGTGTCGTGTTTATTATGCTCTTACATGTGTCGTGTGGTTCTGTTGTGACTACCTCGTACCCCACGAACCTGTCGTACAATCCCCTTAAACTATGTTTTACTTTTGCATGTTTATTAACTTAACACTCAAAAGTCTTATGAAGCATCAAATGCCTATTTTAATAAGGCATGCAACACAGTGCTGTCCGAACTTTGGCCCTGAATCTCTAACATTTTCACGCGCCTCTTGTCATGCTATCACTAGCAAACCGTAAAGATGCCAAAAAATTGTTTTCTTTTTGGTTTCTTTTGTAGCTTTTAGTACTTTTCGTAATGCATACTTTCTGTACCGTTTTGTGACTAATTTTAATGCCTTTTGTTGATAGAGACAAATACATTTTCTCTATTTCTTGTTTACCATTTAATATAGTGAGTATCTTATAAGTATTTGAGTACAATTTTCAAGTATTTTTTAATAGTGTTTGTATTTTTTTTTTAATTTAGATATAAATTACATTTCATCTATTTGCAGGAGCGCCTCAACAACAAACAGTCAACGGCTACATCCTATTGCATTTCCTGTATCCTCATATGTATCGTCATTGTGGTGATCATAGTGGTTATCTTCTTCGTCTAAAAGGTTATTACAACGTCTGCTATTGGCTGAAATCGTCAATTTTCTCGTGTAGCAATGGAACGGAGTATAACATTGGCTTAAAGCGTATATTATCAAGTGGACCAGTATTACAGGGAAACGATGAACCATTGTAACGGAGTCTGCCATTGGCTGATAAAATCTACTTCCTGCCTTTTTAACAGAGTATGTCATGGGCTCATAACGTATATCATCTTGTGAAACAGGGAAAACATGAACCATTTTAACAGAAGCTGCTATTGGCTTACAACGCCTAGCGAGCCATTTTAACAGAAGCTGATATTGGCTTACAACGCCTAGCGAGCCATTTTAACAGAAGCTGCTATTGGTTTACAACGCCTAGTGAGCCATTTTAACAGAAGCTGCTATTGGCTTACAACGCCTAGCGAGCCATTTTAACAGAAGCTGCTATTGGCTTATCACGCGTAGCGAGCCATTCTAACGGAGAAATTATAAAAACCTGTACCAGAGGCTGCCATTGGTATTAAGAACGGATCCTATTTTAGAATCACTTTCACAATTTCAAAAAATTAACATTTGAATCTGTTTTGTAGGTTAAATAATACAGATGAAAACGAATGAAATGTTGTCCATAAGTTCGTAAATATGTTTTATATATTGTTCGTGTCTCATGTAAGTTTGGAGTGTTTTGTTCCCTGTCCCACTGCAGAAAAACTTGAGAAGTCCACTGTAGTTTTCGGGACATACTGTTATCTCCCTTTGATTTCGTTTTGGGTATAGCTGTAGTGCTACTAGGCCAAGTAAGTACCATTGACTAAGTAAAACAGTTAGTTAGAACGATAGTATAAGGGTTTGGAGGCTGAAGGTTCGAATCCTTATCTTGCCCGTTACAGTTTTACACTGTTGATGTTATTCATAAGAGTGTCAGACGGAATTTTTTTCGGAAATGATTAACCAAAGCTATAGTCATGTCAGAATGAGACTTTCTAGTGCATATGTACAGTTGTCAGTAGTTGTACAGGGATCCTTAAGTTAATTTTCATCTTAATTAATCCTGTTTGTAAACAAACGTTTTAGTTCATAAATATACTTTAAGTTTCTTTTTCAGATTTCATAGTTTAATTAAGCATTGAATTGTGTTTGTATTTACGTTTTCTCTGCCTCTAATGTTCTTTCTTAACTTAAAATTTATATTTAAGATTAAAAATGCCCGCCTTATCGACAGTCCACACAATTTCGTTCAATAGTTTGAACAGCGTATTGTCGCGTGCTGATTGGCAAACAAAGTAGTACTTTGAAATTACAAACACTTCAATTTTATTCCACAATTCAGTATCAATACAATTGCGTATGCTATGTCTATAGGGTGATTTAAGTTTATCAATAGAACTCTTAGCTAAAAGTTAGATTTGAAATTGTTTCGATTTTCCCCCGGAACAAATAATATCGTGCATGGACAAATACAGTGAACACCGTAAATCCGACCTTCTTTTTGGAAGTTAATTCGAACTTTTTTTCTTTGCTCCTTTTTTAATAATTCCAGGTGTGAATTTATTTGTTGATTGTATGGGAACCTTACAACAGTCGGTAGATTCTATAACCAGCCTCGTTATTTGACCTGTCGTCAGAATTAAACTGAGGAACCGTGGATGCGAGACGCGTGAAACTGATAGCGTTTGAAGTGAGTGATCTTGCGACGGAGCACAGGTTCGTTAAAAATGTCTGAAATGTTTATGTGTGCTGTGACTTATATCAGTAGGTCTGTAACAAATGTGCCAGTACGTCTATAGAATATGTGTATTTAAGACATTTGTAACGAACCCCTGTTGATCAGTGCAGTGTAACAGACGATATTTCTGATAAATTGCATGAGCGTTAAAAATTGTTTCCATTGCCTTGCCGGCATTGGTGATTTCAACTGATGTGCATTTTGTACGATATT